TACATATACAACACATTGGGTTGATAAATTGTGTATTGTATTGAACGGAAGTGTACAGATAGACTGGTGCCACTTCAAACAAGAGATCAGCTCTACGGCAAGTGAACTGATTGCGTCAATAACTTTTAGGCGCACAAAACAGGATAATATAATCTGATTAGTACCGCCTAACCAATTGCCAAGTATTTTAAATTACGGCTGTTCAATAATAGTTTAAAAATAATTGACTCAGTCAGTTAACCTGGCGTGGATTTGACATCTCGTTTTTAATTTCAATAGCCCCTACTTATCCCTACACGTTTGCTTACTAAGATTTACTAACCCAAGAATCTGCCTGTTTGTTTTACTTCAAAGATTAGGAACATTAAACGAAATGTTACCATCTCCCGACATGTATATCTGATTTCTGTCTTGATGAGCGACAGATAAATGAGAACCAGTGTGTCGCATCCTATCCTTGTTGCGACTCGTAATCAGCATTTATCGTTTTTGCCTCCCCACTAAAGTTGAAGACCCAGGACAGCCATCTTGATTGCCGGCATCACTCATTTGCAGTCATAGTATACGGCGTATGGAATTTTCTTCCATCCGATGTAGTTTGTGCTCCTCCAGTTGAACTATTTAAATCGCAACCTGATAAAGCATTGGAACACTTAAAATTTCGACATCCATGAGTGATCATGCATATTATTATTATTATTATGTTCTCTTGTGAAGTTATTCAAAATATTCTGTAAAAATCCTATGGGGCATAATATGTTTTAGCCTTATTAAATCGCCCATAATAAAGCTTTGATTTTGACTGGGACTCGAGTTTAGAAACCTTTAACTGGAGTTAAACACCTGATCCGCAACAAGGCGGTTATGACAGGGTTTGAACTCATGGACTATTAGGTATGTGAGCCAGCAGTTTAGGCTGCCCAACCTTTCTCTCAGTTCTTTGCCTAATGTTATACAAAGAATCATATGGGTTCGGGGGGAACAAGAGGAGGCTAATTCGCATCGGGGTTCAACAGTAACCACAAACAGAATACACTCGATTACACATGAGGATACTGCGGTATGGCTTCATGAAAACAAAAGTAATTTCTGCGCTTGCCAACTCCAAAAACTTTCCATTTTGTTGTCCTGTTTAACTAAACCTGAACAGTTTGTTTTCTCTAACGCTGAGCGGGATCATTTTTGGATTTGATGTGGTATCCTCGTCCACCATCATAGAACCCATTGAAGACAATGCTATTTCCCCTAATAATTTGAAATGTCCTCTCCCATTGTCTTGAATTCAATGTCCTCTGCTCAAGGATACACTAAAGCGGTCACCAGACCAACTATTACAAAAATTCAGCCCAGTGTGTGTGGCAGTGCTATCTGTCATTCAAAAAAGTGGTCGGAGTTTGTGTTTAGATGAGCACGGTTATTCAATGCTTCTTGATTCGGCCCATGTATACTGTAGTGACAGAAAAATACGAAGCATCGGGAAGTCACCTACCTTCCTTGTGTTGTATTTTTTCACCTAATAGTTGAATAAACATCAATTAGTTGTTAAAGTGAAAATTTGAAATCAATTTATCAACTCCGTTTTGATTTTCTTCTATAAATGTCACCACCATTAATCATCAGCTATTGCCATACTGACGTATCTGTCGTGGTTATTACGGTACCTGAGTTCCTATTATCATTCCCCTCCCCCCAGACATTCCCGATTCCTGTGAAAAATGGAAATTGTATTTCTGACAGGTTTACTCCATATCACAGGATCGATCGATCAATCGATTCCGTAGCCATGCATTCTTCTCTCTGTATTTTCTACATGCAAACACATTTACCCATTCATCTTGCGTGCCCTTCTCCTCCGTCGGATGGTTTCAGGCAGATTTTCAAACAATTCCTTACAAATCGTATTTTGAGAAATCCACGACAACAACGATTTTTCAAAACCAACGATTTACAAGAATTGTTAACCTTCGATGACCCGGATTCGCACACTGAAAACAAATCACGTGAATCCCGTGCACCCGAGACGGCTATATATCTGCGTTCCGAAGGACTAGGTCACACGATTTCCCGCTCAAAGTCGACCAATCGATTTGATCTTTTGCATCAACGTTGCCAACTGAAATCGACCAGCCCGGAAAGTGACGAAGATGTCGAAGTGGAGGATGCAGATCTAGGGGACGAATCCTCTACCACAGTGGACACGGAATCTGCTCTTGAAACAGCCCGCCGAGATCGATTGCGTCAACTGGCACGGGAGCTTAGTCGCCGGATTGCCGAGGGTAGAGTGGATGCAGAGAAACCGCTATTCAGTCGTGACTCTGTGCGATCTGGTCAAAAGCGTCGCGGAACTCGTGTAGACGGAGTGCGCCTAACTTTAGTTGACCGGCGAACAACGTACGATACAGGGGATACAGAACGAGTAAAGAAAAGTAAAACATCCAGTTCTTCTGTGAAGGACTCACCAACTAACTCATCATCTACTTCTATACACCAGAAACAGTCAACCGACCCGGACACACCGGGTCGCATACAGTCGGACGTGTTTCTCAGTGCCCTTTTACAACGCGATCCACCGACTTCCGAGTCATCCGATCGGAATTCGACCCAGTTGTCCAACGAGTCCTCATCATGGGAAATCATTGCTCGTAAACGAGCCGCTTTAGATGATGATATGCGCCAGGAAGCCATCCGTGTCGCTCGGTTAGCTAAAGAAGCCATTCAACGATACAGTATGAATATTTCCACTAGCCCGGCCCCGGAAAAATCGAGTAAGTCCACTGATACCCTTCACGTACGGTCCGCGCGCACCTGTGTGTGTGTGTCTAGAATTATATTCATTTCAATCGAACTGCACTGTGTATGTTTCTCTCCGATCTATAACTACCCGTAGGGGGTGAAATCGCACTTTCTGATTACAATCTGTTATGAGGATCCTCGACCATGTTCGTCCCCTCAGAGTGCTTTTCATGTGATGGTACACAATGAGGCCGGTATGCACGGTTGGCTGGATTAGTTGGTGTCTTAGCAGTCGGATGCTCAAAATGGCCTCCGCCACATAGATGTGGTTTCAGTCAGATTTGCAACAATGCTGATTATCCCTAGTGGGCAAGCGTTTTTGTGATTTGAAGGACTATTTTTTAGTCCCTCTGCATCCATCGTAGATATGAAACGTTTACTGAATTGCGAGGCGTAATCGGTTGCATAGTTTGAACAATCAATTGTCGCTGTTGTTTGTCTGTTCAAATCTCATAGTTAAGATAATTTTACATAGTTACCTGTCCTTGATTTCGTATTGATTTCGTTTCACTGTTGTCTGCTTTGCTTTGAACGCAAGGGTGGGGAGGGGTGGTATTATTCCACACCACATGGCAGTGAGTGACCTACTGTATTGATCGTCACGTATCTATTGTAGTGCAAAATTTGGTGTTCTCGCATTTTTGGTGGTAGGCAGCCTTGATGTCGTCCAGTTCAATACCACTCCTGACCTATCGGGGCTTTATGTGGTTCGCCACTCCAAGTCCCGGGGCTTAGGTCACCGGTTTCCATCACTGAACAGCAGGTCCTCGTGNGTTCACCCCGTCTGCTGTTCATCACACGAAAGTGTGTGATAGAAATTTCCCCATGAATCCAAATGCATGTGTCGTATAATCTCGTCGACTGTGAACAGGTTCTCGGCATCTTCCCTCCGTTTGTGAGCGATATAATTATGTACTTGTACAGTATACTCCTTCGGCACATTGCACTCGCAGACATCTACGGAGTAGGCTTTGATTAAAATTCCCGTGGGCTCCCATCGAAGTATTCTGTCTTCGACAAAATACTCCAAGTCGTGTGCTATTTGCTATTCTTGCAGCCATAGGTGAATGTTCATCCTGTGTGCCCGGTCATCTGGTGTCTGTTGGTTTTTGGAGAGCTGAAAGGAACTGATATGCCCAAAAACTCTGCAGTTGTCTCGGCATCATGGAACGAAATATTAAGTCCCACGGTTCGATCCTCGTTTGATTTGATAGATTCGCACTGTATGCGGAAACCCAATAAGAAAGCAGTTGCACAGTGCTTTAAAGATTTTCGGTTCCTGCTTTGTTTACACATGACGAATTTTTTTCACCTTCCTTCGACTAAATGCCCAGAGCTATTAGATAAATCAGGCGCCTTTCATCTTCCTAGTTGGGGTTGGGGTCCAAAAGATTTGTAACAGGTTATTTGGATAGCCGACAGCAGTGGTGTTCCGGGTCAGAATGCATGAAAGGGGGCTGTATGAACAGTTAGATTGTCTGCTCTGTGTTCACCATGGAGGTCCGCTTTCTTTCCCCTTTCCACCGAACGGACCTAATCCCTATCAATCTTGCATGTTCTCACTACCCTTGTATGCAATGCGAGTTTGGGAGCGATCAGTGAAGTTCGCTTCACCGTATTTTCCTGGACGATAATGGTGATGATGATGATGATTGGCAAATCTAATTTTTATTCGCCGGAGTAGTCCACAATATTTTGAGGGGAACTAGATGAAACGAGCAGAAATAATTCACCATCGTTTCTTTACGGGTTTTCAATTCCTTCAGAACATACATACCTGACCTAGACACTTCCAATTGCTAAAACTTGTCAACTGCTCATCACGTACCCCTTTTAGCAATGGGGTCATCAAAAAATTGGTGACTATGTCGTTTCCCGGTGGCTTTCCGGCAACCCGACACGTTTTGTGACGTTTAACCTAAAAGCATCGAGGGAAATTCGACAAAAGTATTGGGGCTTTTGAGAAAAAATAACATGTGGAGCTACACTATTTAACCACATCTCAAGTCTGTCGTTGACGTCAATGATTTTTTCGAGTTTATGTTGCACATTTATTTTCAGACTTCGTACCCGTACCCCATGTTTGTAAGAAAGCTAGACACATTGCTTTTTTCGTCTGTTCGTCGAGCTGTGCAATCTGTTTGCCAGCGTTTTATCACTAGCCGAGGTGATGAAATCAGGGCTTGTGAAATGGCCCTCCATTTCACATATCAATGTAGATCGGGGTGGTGGTGGTTGAGAGGTAAGGTCGTTTAAATGAACGCCTGGGGGTCCTGAGTTCGAACCCCGTTATCGGGGCCCATCCTCTCATTATCTGTATTTCGCCAGGCAATCTTCGTATGACCGCGGCCCCCTTCCTGAAAGTTTATCATACTTTTCGATAATCAACAAACAGAAAAGGAAATAAACACATTACGAGGCTCGACGACTAGGGTAAAATAAATTTAGTTCACCCGATTTACGAGAGTCAATTTTCATTTTTTTTTGTAATCCCTACTTTTTGGAGCTACCTTGTTTGCTCTACCCAGAGTTTCAATCTTTACAACCATTAACCATGCACTTTCGTGCACCGGTTTTGGTTGCTGTCTTTTGGTGTCCCATTTAGATAAAAGAGCAAAATGAAGTTTCGAATGTTGAAAGCAAAGTCAAGTGCTCTACCCAGATCTTACTTTTGATTTGGTTCAGGCATATCTCCACCAAAATTACCGGTTGGAAACAGACCATAAATGCGTTTTGAATTAACGTAATATTTGTGTCAGGTGTATATCTAAAAATCTCGGATTTACTCAATAATTGAGTGGTGATGGCGCTGGTAGTTAGGCTCTGTAGTTGGTTTTCACTGGTGCGCTGTGTCCTTATGGATCCAGGCTCGAATCCCGGAACCGACATCCAACTCCGATGGAAAATATTTCCACTGTCGTTCACCTAAACAGCCCACTTTGTTTAATCGGGTCTCATGTGATTCTCTATGGTGTATCCCAACGATTAGGTTACCGGCACCCGGCTCTCGAGGCTGTCTATGAATTTCATTCGTGTTGTGCATCTCACAGGTGTGCGATAAAAATAGTCTGTTTAGTGAACTATTCACCTTTTGGATAGCTGAAAGCAAAGACCTGACATATCGCTTTTTCGTCGATTCTGGTTTAACTCTGACCTGGATATGCTGTGTTGTAAATTGGTCCCTAGTACTCCAGTCGACTCATGCTTTATGCGCCCAGTAAGATGGATTTTCAGCGCCTGTGACTAGTTACAGTGAAGAAAGCATGTATATTAACCATTTGCTAAATGAAAAATAAACCAATATGATACAAAAAAGGACCATTATGATAAGTGATTTTCCAAGGCAGTGATAATAGTTGTTCGGTTGACAAAATACGGGCTAAATAGGTGTGTACGCTCATGACTGGGTTTCTCTGCTCGGCCATCGCAATAGGAAATGATGCTGTTTCAGTATATGGGGTGGTACGTGCCTGGACCAACTTGATTGCTTTACTTTTCGAATGATGGAATCACGGTTTCGTTTCTATCCCCCCCTTGCCCTCACCCAGATTCCAATGGTTCTTTAAACTCATCGTGTTCGGCTCACAAAAGAGCTTATTCGACCAAGCAAGCATCATCAACTTCCAAAAAGAAGCGATCGGGAGAACCACAAACCGTGACCGAACGCCAAACATTGAATCGCGGAATCCGCTCAGATCATCGGGATGCCGTATCGATCAACCTACCCCAGGTTTCCCATGTCGTAGCACACGACCAGTTGATCGACTGTTTGACCAATGTGGAGCGTGTGGATACATCTTTTTATCGTCTGGAGACCCACCGATTGATCGTTCGAGCAATAGACACTCTTCGTTCCGAAGTTACTCAGTCTTCACAGATGGTTTCGTTTAGTTCTCATAATTTGCCGATCGGTAGCATCACACCCGAGAGCTGTAAACGTTTCGGTCTACTGAAAGATCGATTTTTGTGGAACCCTCAAGAAGAACAGAGCACTGTTTATGTAAGTCTTTCCCCACGTACGCTAGAATCAGTTTTCAAGCAATATTTCTGTAATTGAACTTATCCATTCCGTCAAATGCTCAGTGTTATCAGAGCGTTTTGACTGTAACACTTTTCCCAGCTTGCTTTATCCCCGGTAGTACTTTTTCCTTCTTTCGTGATCTCTAATTATGCAATATCATTTGGAATATCACCAATAGAGACCAATTTGCCACACAGCACCAATGTTTGACGTTGACCTATTGATTTAATCTTCATGATCAGATTTACCTGCTGCGTCTGAAGTTAGATTGTCTATATCCACTCCTCTTCTGCGTTTTCCCCCTA